ACCTACTTCTAATCTGAGCACCCAACCCCCACACCTCATGGCCTTTCTCTTGCCTTTCAATATATCTCTGTGAATAAATCTACCTTCACTCAAAAACAAAACAAAACAAAACAAACAGACATCATATGATCCAGCAATCCTACTCCTGGGCATATATCCAGAGGGAACTCTAATTTGAAAAGATATATGCACCTCAATGTTCATAGCAGTAGTATTTACAATGGCCAAGACATGGAAACAACCTAAATGTCCATCGACAGATGGATAAAGAAGATGTGGTATACGTATTGTCAATGGAATACTACTCAGCCATAAAGAAGAATGAAATAATGCCATTTGCTGCAACATGGATGGACCTAGATATTATCATAGTAAGTGATGAAAGCTGGAAAGAGAAAGACAAATACCCTATGATATCACTTATATGTGGAATCTTTAAAAATGACACAAATGAACTTATTTACAAAACAGAAACAGACTCACAAACATAGAAAACAAATTTATGGTTACCATGGGGAAAGGGAGGGAGGGACAAATTAGGAGTTTCGGATTTGCAGATACAAACTACTATATATAAAACAGATAATTAACAAGGTCCTACTGTATAGAATGGGGAACTATATTCAATAACTTGTGGTAACCTATAGTGAAAAAGAATATATATGTGTGTGTAGTGTGTGTGTGTGTGTGTGTAACTGAATCACTATGCTGTACATCAGACTAACACAACATTGTAAATCGACTATACGTAATTAAAAAACAAAACAAAAAAACAGTAGTGTGCCGACCTCATAGGATATAATAAGTGAATGTACACGTGTGAAATACTTAAAATAATGCCAGACACAGGGTGGGCATTATTTAAGTGTTAGCTATTGTATTAGCTGTATAACGAGTAGCTTAAAACAACAATTCACATTTATTATTTCATAGTTTCTATGGGTCAGGAGCTTGGGAGCGGCTTAGCTGGGTGAGCTCGGAGTCTCATGAGGCTGCGAACAGATGCCAGCTGGGGTTACATCATCTGAAAGCTTGATTGGGGCTGGAGGATCTGCTTCTACAATCGCTCCCTTGTGTGGCTGACAAGCTGATGTTGGTTGCTGGGTGGATCTCTCCAAAGGGCTGCTTGAGTGTCCTCACAGCATGGAAGCTGGCTTCTCACTCAAAGTGAGCTAATCAAGAAAAAGGCAGAAGCCACATTTTTTTTATGGCCTAACCTCAGAAGTCACACCCACCACCATTTCAACAACATCCTCTCAGTTACATGATGGAGAGGAGCTATACAAGGGCGTGAAGATCAGGAGGCAGGATCGCAGGGCCATGATGGATAAAGGAGGTATAGCATGGCTGCTAAGAATGCAGCTCTGAGTCAGGGCAGCCTGGCCTCAAACCCTAGCTCTCTCTAGATAACTGTGAGAACTTGGACAAGGACTTAACCTCTCTTTCACTGTGTTCTCATCTATAAAATAGAATAACAGTACCTACTTCATTTGGGGTTGTAACTGGGATTAAGTGAATATATAATCCCTTTAGAACAATCCCTGGCATATGTTAAGTGCAGAGGAGGTGTTCACTGCTATTTTTATTATGAATTCCTCCTGTACAACCCATCAGAAGCCCAGTGCTTGAAGACTAGTAGAGAAGTCTAGGGCCTCCGGTAACCTAGGTCCTAGAGATACAGATGGAAAATCACTGTTCATGAGACTGTGTCCTGCTCCAGACTGAAATCTCCCTAAGGCAGGGAGTTTATTCAATTGCCCACAGACAGGTTAAAATTAAAAAAAAAAGTCAGTTTCACTGCGTCCCTTTCTGATGAGATTCCAGCCCAGGTGTCACCTTTCCAATGCCATTTGCTTTGACCAGAATAGCCTACATTTGGAGAGGGGGAAGTGTCTTGCCCACTATTATGAAATGTGAATCCAACACAGTAATCAGTACATAGCAGGTACTCAAGAAACAATTGATCAGGGTGATATGTCATTGCTGGGTGAGAAGGTACATTGCACAGAACAGTTTTTAGGATGTAATGCAGGGCCACCACCAGGCCCCTGGACAAACTCTTTTGTGACTTGTTTACTACAGGTGCCTCTAAGACACCTGCCTTTGGTGTGTTTTATGCCCTCTGAAACATGGCATGGAGGTAGAAGCCCCTGAACAGTGAATCATGAAAAGACCACGAAGTTGGGAAAGTGATAATTTTTCTTAGCGCAAGAAGCTAGAGAGAGGGACACAGTGCTCTGGGACAGCTGTGTCCCCTACTCAGTAGGAAGCCAGGGGCTGGGGGCTGAACAGGCTGGCTGCCAGGGCAGATGGTGGCTATCTGGATCCACCCCTTGCCAAGATTTTCTCCCTGCCCTTCTCATCTGCCTGTCACTGCTGCTGGGATCTGCCATTCTGGCATCCGGCCCAGCCAAGGGTATGAGTGGTGACCTGCACGTCAGCCCTGGGGCTCCCAGTTTCAGATTCCAGAGGCTAAGCTGGCTCGGAGCCCTGCCGAGTCAACTCTGTTCTTCTGTCTGTGCTCTGAGTCAACATCTCCCAGGTTCTCCCTGGCAGGCCGGTTTTCTATGCCAGCCCCGATTTTCTGACGAGGTATAGGGAAGTTGGTGGGGACAGAGGGGGAGGACTTTCGTGAACGTTGGTTTAATAAATGCTTAGCCTTGGAATGAACGTGGCCCACATCACAGCCTCACTCATTTCCTCTTCTGTCCCAACTCGGTTCCTACCCAGGGCTCAAAGTCTTGGGGTCTCTCCACCAGCCTGGGAACTCCATGTAGGAGCAAAGGACTGTTTGTTGAATGACTGAATGAAGGAGGAGGGGCAGACCTTCCTCCCGTGCATCCCTTCTTTCTGTTCTGAGGTTCTCGCTTTGATTCAGGCAGACTCAGACACTGAGGACCCTGAGGGTAGAGAGTGGGCAGTGGTGAGAGAGGCCGAAGCTGGAGACTGAAAAAAACAGACCTGGGCCCTGCCAACCAGGGCACTAAGTTGTTGGGAGTGGGATGAGGGACGTTAAAAAATCTGCAGTGACGAAGCCATAAGCAGGGAAGCGTGGGAGCCGGGAGATGTCTCCCCGGGGGTCAAGCCTGGTCTTGAGAGGCTCTCCGGAAAGCCTCTCGGAGGCGGGGTGTTTGAGGCGCCCTAGATTTCCCGTCCCGGTCTGTTGGACTCAGCGCACCAGGGCCCTTTCTTTTTCGTCTCTCTTACCCAGCTTTTGACTTGGGAAGGGGGTCAAGAATGCAGCCCGCCTTTTCCCCACTGAGACCGGCGGGGGCGGCTGGGGTTCTTGGGATTCCGGCGCTTGGAAGGGCACCACGGGATGGGGAGAATCACGTCTCCCATGGTCCTCAGAAAAGGCACGGAGAAGGCACGTCAAGACCTGGTGCGAGGAGCCAGAGTTTTGCAACCCAGGGCGCCCTCTACTACCATAATTACCCGGCCTCCAGCGCACGGAACCCCGCCCCGGCAACTCACCACGCCCCGCCTCCCGGGCTGCTCCTCCCACTCCCGCATGGGCTTGTTTATAATAGAGCGTCGCAGCGGATAGGCAAGCCCAGGGCTAGCGGCTGTGATTCGAGTCTGTCCTGTGGCTTCTGCACCCAAGCGAGTCTGCGCCAGGGACCCCCGTCTCCAGCCCTCGCATCTTGAACCCCGAGTCCCCCTTGCGCCCCCCTCGCCCAGGGTCCCCGAATCCCCCGCGTCCCGGGGCCCAGACCACCCGGAAGGATGCGCGGTGCGCCGACGGCCGGAGCAGCCCTGGTGCTGTGCGCCGCACCGCGGGCTGCTGAGCGCTCAGGGCCGCCCGGAGCCGCCCGAGCAGCCGCGCTTCGCGTCC